ACCGGAATAACCTCTTCTGCACGTATACTATCGATCGGCGAAACGCTGACTACTGTTATGTTGAGCTCGAGTTTGAAGACTTTGAGTTACAGAACTCAGTCAACTGTGAGGCAGACTTTCTGCAGGTGGAAGACCAGCGCTTTTGCTCCGACACTCTTAAGCTCACCAAACGTACCATTCCTTTCGATGGCAAAGACAAAGGCGTTGTCCTTATGTTTAAAACGGATGAGTCCAAGACTAAGAGAGGATTTCTAATTAAATACAAACAACTCGAGTGCACTAATGATGTCGTTCAGGAGAAGGCGTCGTTACCGGAGTCGGCGGTACTGCCAATGCCTCACAGCAAATGTGATTATGTCTACAGCGATAAAGAGTTTATGATTCAAAGCGAGAACTATAGCCGCAGTTATGCCAATAACTTGGACTGTAGTTATTATGTCAGGAAAAACACGACTAAAGTCTGTTATCTTGAACTGACTTTTATCAAGTTTGATGTCGAGGCGTCGCCTGAATGTCAATATGATTATCTCGAAGTGGGAAACACTGTCCGTCTTGTAGTTATTATGTCAGGAAAAACACGACTAAAGTCTGTTATCTTGAACTGACTTTTATCAAGTTTGATGTCGAGGCGTCGCCTGAATGTCAATATGATTATCTCGAAGTGGGAAACACTGTCCGTCTGTGCGGTACTCTTCAGACCGAAACGGTTCGCACATATATTTTCGACACCAATGAGAAGATCTTACGGTTCCGTTCGGACGCCTCTAATAACAGGAATGGGTTTCTAATAAAAGCGGAACAATTGGAATGTATGGGCGATAAGATCATCCGTACGACAGAACAGCCGCACCAGTACTCAGTGACCACACCGTCGGCCTCAGCGGTCGCGCCCACGCATTACAGCGTCGGTGACTCCAGTTTCTGCAGTCAAGTGATGGAAACGCGAGAATTCAATATATTTAGCCCAAACTATCCGAACCCCTATCCGGCCGATCAGGACTGTCTGTTTATGATCCGCAAACTCACGCCAAACGTATGCAAACTGGAGGTCACTTTCGACGACTTCGAGATACAACCGAGTGATCCGAACGCGTACTGCAAATACGATTTCGTCGACTTCAATGGTGTCCGCGTTTGCGGTGATGTCATGAGAGGTGACATCAGAACCTATTACTTCTCGTCCGAAACATTTCCCATACATTTTCATTCCGACAATTCTGTGACGAGTTCTGACCGCGCGTTTCGGCTTAACGTCAGGCAAACTGAATGCGAGCCACAAAACAATCAAATCATACCATCGGAAGCGATGCGACCTCAGGATCACTATCAGAAAGCGTACGATTGTAATCGTGTTTACTCTGAAGTGGGCTTTGAGCTCAAGAGTCCAAACTATCCGCAAAGTTATCCAAATAACATGAACTGTAAGTACACTATATTGAAACAGAGAACTGGTCTGAAGATATGTCAGCTCGAGGTCAACTTTGTGGACATGGATTTGGAAAAGTCCAACGATTGCAGCAATGATTATCTTAATTTTAACGGACAACTCATGTGCGGAACGCTGTCCTCCGAAACCACGAGATATTATTTGTTTGAAAGCAATCAATTTGTCATCAATTTTGTGTCAGATTCTCAGAGAAGTCAAAGGGGTTTCTATTTGAGAATCCGTCAGAAAGAGTGTCCGCCGCCCGAAGACACAACATATCCAGTGGTCCGACAGCCCTATAGTGGAAACGAAGTCACTCAATGCGGAGGAATATATACAGACATCACATTTGATCTGAAGAGTCCTCAATATCCCGAATACTATGAAAATAATGTCGAATGCTTTTATAGGATTCGCCGAAAACATGATAACATATGCAAACTTGAGATTAGATTCGTTGACTTCGATGTGGAACCCAGTCCTGGATGTGGTTATGATTATCTGATCATTGATGGCAAGAAGATGTGCGGAGATATGAAACCAAATCTGATTAAATCCATAGACTTTATGGAAAACGAGAAGATATTAATGTTTAGGACGGGAACCACGAGTAAGAGACGAGGATTTTATGCCAAAATATACCAAAAGGAGTGCGAAGTATACGTGCCCTCAACCGACACGAGTTTGGTTTTACCGCCCATACCATCGATATGTGAATTGTGTTTCACAGAAGTGATGGGAACCATTCAGTCCTACGACTATCCCAACAATTATCCGCCAAATCTGAGCTGTAAATACAAGATCACAGCACTTCCCGGCAATTGTATGGTTCAACTTAACTTTGAACAGTTCCGGATGGAGTACTCCGAGAGCTGTGACAACGACTATCTGGAGATCAATAATATTAGATATTGTGGGAACCAATTGGAAGGCGCCACTCGTGAGTAACAGTTATAGTAGTAGTTATTAAGAGATATTCTCAGAGATATTTTTGTTGTAAATTTGTCCATCAGTTTTGGCATTCAATAAGAAACCGGAAGACGTTTCCATTAAATTTGTAACAAATGGCCACAAAAGTTACCGCGGATTTCGTGCCTCATATACTCAGCTCCCGTGCATCGGTGGCGTGCCATCGGGTCAGCAGCAGATCACTCTTCAGCAACAGGAACAGTATTATCAGCACAAATATCAGAGCAAAACACTGCCCTCACAACAGCCCACTCAACAGCAAACTCAACGCTACCCACAATCACAGCCACAACAGCACCAGACAAATGGTTACGACTCGAAGACCCAAAGCCAATATAGTTCCCAATCACAGCCACCATTTCAAAGCTCTTCCAGAAGCCCTCCGTTCATGGGATCCAACGGTGTCTCAAACTATGGTTCGGTTCCGATTGCAATCATTGATAGTACCAACTCATCGTTAGTTCGCGTTCCGTGCGATCGTGTCATATATGATATGGTGTTTGAGATGCGAAGTCCTAATTATCCCAATTATTATCCGCCGAATACTGATTGTCTTTATTCCATCCGAAGAGTCAATTCTAATGTATGTAAACTTAGGCTAAGGTTTATATCGTTTGACTTAAAGGGAGACTATAAGGAATGTGTCGGCGATTCCCTTGAAATCAATGGAAACAAAATGTGCGGAAGTCTTCCCAATAATACCGTCGGTGAGTCTCATATTTACAATAAAACTAAGACAACAAATAAACTAATTTTCACAACTTTTCTCCACTTTTAAAGAGGAGTTTTCGTTCTCTTCGTATAAATCTTCGCTCAGATTTCGATCCGATTCTGATATAAGTTCTAAAGGCTTCCTAATAATGGGCGAACAGATCGAGTGCTACGGCAATAAAGCGATGGATGAGTCGTCTAATAAACAGTTATATTATGGACAGTCATCTGTTCAATACGCCACTGAAAATACTCTGTCTTCTTCTCCGGCCCATACATTATCTCAACCACAGCCTCAGCCCTCCTATTCATACCCTTCAGCTGTCGATTCAAAGACACAGCACTCATACTCCAGCTCTTCATACAGCCCTCCGCAGTCATCCCCTCCCATTCAAAAGTCTCCACAACAACAGCACTATTACTATCGCTCTCCTCAACCATCCCCTCACAC